ATCGAAAAAAAATAATCAGTTTTGGAGCTATTCTTCTGAATTCTGATTCTCACACATTGACAGAGCATGGAGTGGGAAGGAATTCAAGAAAGCATCAACAATCAATCTTTTTAAAAGCAAAAATATGCACCATTTTGGATTTGATCAACAACAACATACTCGATATAGTCCCACAAATTGGATCTGAAAAGAATATCATGCATGTTATCTATGTAAAAGATAGATGAGTCGTTTCTGGCTGACCCTCAACTCAAGTAAAACATATCAAAATCAAGTATCATAACAAAATACTGACGATAAGAATATAGTAATAGAAGCAAAAGAAACAACATGAAATAATAAAATTGAAGAAAAAAATTAGGAGAGTAATAATATCAAATACTAATCGATTGATGAAAAAATAAATTAACAATCATTCCTAAAATTTTGTTCTATGTAAAAAGGAAAAGTCTTATCATAAAGTTCAATATGTCATGGTTATTAACGGACCCTTGTTAATCATAAATTTTTAAATAAGTGTCCGTTAACAAGGGTAATCTATTGTTTTAATCATTACTTTGAATTTAAAAACAAAAAAGGGGCCATGATCCATTTAATCTCATTGGAAATCTAAAGCAGGTATAATAATTATCACCATAGGGTTTCTAATAAATGAATTAAATTACCCAAAAAGACGGATACTAATAAATCATTTCATTTAATGGTTATTATGAATCCATCTAAGCAAAAAGATGAATTTTCTAAAAGCAAGTGTGGGATCAAGATAATTAATTGAGCAAGCCTTTGGCTTTAAGGCTATTCACTGTATCCTTAATTGCATCTTCAACTGGGGTGAAAATTAGTCCCAAATCAATCAATTTTTTAGCAGCATCTTTGCAAGCCACCAAGCCTGGCTGGGTCTCCCCTGTGAACCTGTATTCAATTTTATCCACTATTATTGGAGACAAGACCAGACCAATCATACAAAAAGGTATCTAATAAAAAATGGTATCTTATGCAATTGAAACTAAGACATGAAAGAAATTCTCAAAGGGGGCAATTATAACAACTTATCAAACATATCCAGTGTAATCCCACGAGAGGAGTCTGGGGAGGTAGTGTGTACGCAGACTTTCCTACCTTGAGAGGTAGAGAGGTTGTTTCTGATAGATCCTCCGCTCAAGGACAAGTTTATCAAAGCAGTTCGGAAAAAGCAATAACAGAAGTGAGGAACTTTCAATTTGATTAAAGCACATTGAATGCTAAAAAAATGAAGCCTAGAGTCAACCTGGTTATAAGTCATAGCTAAATAAATGCACTGAGGAAACATTTCAATAGAGGCACATGGTAGTTAGGAGCAATTGGATGGTTGATAACTAAAATTTATAATGTACTAACCTCAGTATACATTTGAAATTCAGTTATCAAATAAAGTTAAGCTGATTATGCAGAGACCCTGATACAAATCAGGTCGACCATGAATTACAAATTACTTAAAACAACATATTAACGAGATTTACATATGACTAAAAGATGCTGAGGCTGAACTTCAGCAATAAGTCTCAGTCGTAAAACTATTCAGGATAACGAGAATAGAATCACTAAAAGGAAGGATAAGCTGAATAGGTAACATGGAAGGTGACCAGTGGGACTTGGAATGCTATAGATGTAGCTAGCACTTCATAGTGGGGTTTCTTTGGGTAGCCTTACAGTTTTAAAGTGGGGTTGTTAAAGGCCTGGATAACATAAAGGTGATCTTGATTCTTGACAGTTGTGACTTCTGAATGTGTGTTGTGCAATTAAAATTCCTTTGAAGCTAATACTTGAGGTGGGGTCAGGTAAGACCAATTTGTATCTATACTCCTGCAAGTTAGGTATCTACTGCACATGTTGGTTTTCATACCGAAGAAGTGGAAGGCTGTCTATATCACACCCCTTGGAGTGCGGCCCTGCCCTGTACCCTTCTAACGGGGGATGCTTTGTACACCGGGCTGCACTTCATACCAAAGTGTAGAATGGAAGCTCCTGCCACCCCACTACTATAAACCATGTCGTAATTGATTTTACATTAAATGAAATACTATTGTCATGTAATAATCACTTCATTTTGCACAAGATTTTTCTATTGAGTATAGTATATTAATCTCCCTCCTATTTTTATTGACCTACTTCCAGTGTACCACCAACAATTTATATGTGAATATAAACTAATACTTCTTTTAAGCTATTCAAGTTAAATGTCATATGTTCATGATTCAACTTAATGCTGTAAGCAATTTTAACCATATTCAGTATAAAATCCCAATCAAACAGTTCACTGATATTTGGAGAGTCTAAGGTGGTTGGTTGAGGGGATGTAGGAAGTAGCTTTAAATGACAAAAAAGGGAGTAATTAGTTGAAAAGTTGTTTCATCTTTTAAATAACATAAACTAATTTTTCAGTTGAGGAGTTGGTGTGCAGAAAAAGTTAGTCAGCATTTATTTGGGAAAGGCCAAACAAAATTAAGAGTTTTCCAACGAGATGGAGAGAGTATTAAACTATTGAGGTAGTAATAGAAGTGACTGTCTATATGTTATGCCTGAAGAAAATCTAGTTAACAAAACTTCGTTCCCAAGTTCTTCAGGTGGAGATCAGTTCTTAATGACTCAAGCTGCTCATTTCTTACTGTTGAATTGTAAAACAACATCGAAATTTAAGTTTATCATCATTCAGTTAAAGATAGCATAGCTGAATTATACGCCTTTTGAGTAACAGAGGAGAACAAATAACTAGTTGGCTATGTCAAATCCAGTGTTGATAAAGATTAAATGTTATTAGCTGAGACGAAGACTGGACTGGATTAACAGATGTAAAAACATCCCTTTCAATATATGTCCTATTTTTGCATATAACAGAAGATTAAACTTGAGGATAGTTACGATAGAGAGAGAAGCAAACCTGTAGACAGAGAATTCAGGAGAAAGTTTTGAGACTCTGTCAGCAAAATCACCAAACTGGTAAATGCCATTGGTACATAAGTATCTTCCAGAAGCACGAGGGCTCTCAAATAACAAAATCTGTGCCGCTGCCACATCTTTGACGTGCACAGCCCCTAACCAATGATACTCTTGGGTATCTGTTGATCCCTGAAGCAGTTGTTGCAAAACAGCGCAGCTTGCATTCAGTCCAGGTTGCAGAAGTTGACCAAGACATGTAGCTGGATTAATTGCTACCACATCCAATCCATTCTTCTCCGCAAACTCCCATGCAGCCTTCTCAGCAAGTGTCTTTGAGACTGGGTACCATTTCTGTCATTGAACTCAATTATGATTTATAATGTTTAAGAGCTCTTCGTCATGCATGAGAGGTAATTATATCATACTATATGTCAATGGGGGAATCAGGAACGGTAAGTTTTGAATCCTTGCAACTTTGTTTAAAATAAAAGTAAATTTAGAAGTCAAGGAAATCAAATAGAAAGTGTCCATTTATTAGGACATGGTAAATAATTGAGTAGATCACTCAACAATATTGGATTATACTACATTATTAGAGAAGTGGATTATGCAAGCAGTAATCTCGATATAAGCCTAAAGCTCTGCAATAAGAAGTTTTAACATGTTGATTCTCAATTACCCAAAATACTTCAATTGGTACACGCACGAAATAGGCTAATTAAACAGTCTTTTGTTCAATCTCTCGTGGAGTCAAAGGAGTACTGATCCCCTAAAGCGAAGGTAGTGTTCTTTTAATTATTATAATTAATCGCTCACCTCCAGCTGAAACTTTAATTCCCTACTACTTGTGGCATATTTGGTTAACAAGGAATGATAATCTCTTTAATAATAAAAAAAACTTCCTATTTCATGTACACGGGCTACTCAACAAGCCACAGAATATCATTTTTTGGCTAGGGCATCAACTCCCAAGGTGCCTAGAACCCAATTACAACTCAAATGGATACCCCGAAACCAAATTATTATAAACTCAATACTGATGGGGCCTTTACAAATATGTCGGATAGTGGAGGCATAGGAGGAGTTTTTAGGAACACAGATGGTCATTGGATACTAGGCTACTGTATGCATATTCCATATACTACTATCACTGAAGCTGAACTAAAGGGTCTATTCCATGGCCTATGCTTAGCTATGCTTATGAACCTATCTCCAATTCAAGTGGAAATTGATATAAAAGAGGTAATCACATTGCTATCATCTTCCAATGCAAAATATGCTGATATTTTACTTGATTGCAGGTCCACACTTCGACAAGTCTGTGAAACACTCGTCACTCACATTTACAGGGAGCAGAATCAGGTAGCAGATAGTCTAGCTAACCATGGAGCAACAATGGAGCTTTGACTACATTACCACTTTTTGATAGCCCAACCCCTTTTACAGAATCGATGGTCGAAGCAGATAGTCTAGACACCACTTTTTGTCGACAAACAACTTTTTGTAACTTACCAACTGATAGTCTAACTAGTGAGGCATGTAGTGCATTTCACACTACAATGCCAGTAACCTCTTTTTGTACTTCTAGAATAGGGCCATCTACTCCCTGTAATGTTTTATATTAATTAATGCAACTCATCTATTTCTACCCAAAAAAAAAAAAAAAGTAGTGTTCCTCTATTGGAATGTTAATTATTGGCTCAATCTCCTCTAGATGTTTGTTTAACAAAACATCAACTTTATTTAAAGTCAAACGTGCTTTTTGTTTCTTTTTTAACCTTAGATAACCCACAGCCGGCCTAAGGATAAGCATTTTGTGCACACGAAGTACATAGCCTACAAACCACACCGAAGATGTAAACCGCACTACAAAAGCTTTATGCAACAGACTCAACTCTGAAGGGATTGAGGTGGGGGACCGATCCATATGGATAACCACCCTCCAAACCCAAACCAACCGAGTCATCCGAAGACGTGTTAATTTTTTATTAATAGAACTAATTCTTTTTTTTTTTTCAACAGCAAAGTTGGCGTTATAATTCATTGAGCTGAAATACGATGTTTGGCAGCTCAGTTCCAGAATCTAAATAGACAAAATGTATTGCCAAACTGAAGCAGCTTTATTCAGGGGTTGTAGCAGCAAAACTAAAGAGTAATAACATAACATACAAAGACATCTCTACGTTGTCTTGCACAATTCATGCGACAGCAAAGTTGGCACTATAATCCATTGAGCTGAAATACGATGTTTGGCAGCTCAGTTCCAGAATCTAAATAGACAAAATGTATTGCCAAACTGAAGCAGCTTTATTCAGGGGTTGTAGCAGCAAAACTAAAGAGTAATAACATAACATACAAAGACATCTCTACGTTGTCTTGCACAATTCATGCGACAGCAAAGTTGGCACTATAATTCATTGAGCTGAAATACGATGTTTGGCAGCTCAGTTCCAGAATCTAAATAGACAAAATGTATTGCCAAACTGAAGCAGCTTTATTCAGGGGTTGTAGCAGCAAAACTAAAGAGTAATAACATAACATACAAAGACATCTCTACGTTGTCTTGCACAATTCATGCGACAGCAAAGTTGGCACTATAATCCATTGAGCTGAAATACGATGTTTGGCAGCTTAGCTCCAGAATCTAAATAGACAAAATGTATTGCCTACAAATGATGATTATGAAAAAGGCTAAATAACGATGACATCCTCATCTGGATGATTTTCCGGTGCGCCTTGACCTCTTGCCCTCATCCCAGGCTCCATATCAACACCATCATGATTGCTCCCCAGCAGATCGTTCTTATGGAAGAATGGCGGTTCCCCACCACTTCCACTCTCACAACCATCGGTGAGTTTGGCAATCACATCAATTAATGCTTGTTCATGTTCCTTGAGCATTTTCTTTGCCTTTGCAAGCTCAGCCAGATCAGGGCGACTTGCATCAATAACCTTCTTTATCAGTGTTGCTGTGTGCAGAATCTCAATTTCATCTGATGTCTTCTGTACGATTCTATTCTCTGATGCATTGACATCATTCTCAAATTGTTGCCTAGCAAATCTCCTCCCTCTTCCAGCATTTAGAGTATTAACTCCTCCATAGCCTGGCCCACCACCTCCTCCTACTCGAGATATTCCAGGATCACCACCTATCCAACGAATATCCATGGAGTGAATCTCTTTGGGATCAACCTATTCCCAAGTTTCATTTGGTGTATTCATATCATACACCAAAGCATGCCGAGCATCGACAGCGCTGTAGTCAGTTATAATGGCCTTGTAGAAGTTGTTGTCATGTGGCCACCTAGTCATCACTCTTCTCCCAATCAAGGGGTCGTGGTGCGGTCTTTCAGCAAATTCAGCAGAACGAAGAGCACTTGAAGAACCAGGACCAGCCTGCTGATAATGAACAGGCCTTGAAGAGGAGAACAGTTGCTGGCCAGGTCTAGACGTAAATCCTCCATTTCCTGGGGCTGCTGCCCATTTTGCACCTGGAGTAGTAGGTTGCGTGCTTGCTGCAATTGTCTGATGGTGCAAGGACTCCAACGGGGCACCAAGTGGCACTATCACAGATTTTGTTGATCCAGAAACTGTTGGACTGGGGAGTTGATCTTGGTTTCCATTGGTCTTTCTCCACTCCCTGATACTATGAATACGGTTATCGGCATTGACGTTGGTCAGTAGGTCTCTGTGCTCATCGTCTGAGTTGTGTTATCAAGCTTTCCTTTTCCCATGTAAGAGCATCAGACTGTGCTTTGAAAGCTCGAAGGATTGCACCATATGCATCCTGCTCAAGGTTGTGAATTTCGACTTCCATATCAACATACATCCCCTTTGGTATGGGGATGAACTTATACTAGACCTACCGTTTCCACCTATATATAATACTATGTGATTGAGGCCGATCATCATCACTACCCCTGCTGATTTCTAAAAGTCCATACACCGGATCTTCAAGCTATATTAATCTCACAATTTCACAAATTAAACGAAACGGCTTTCTCATGCAGAAAAGATTGTTGTTTAATGCCCTTCAACTAATTCCAACTTATTTATATTAATAATAATAATAATTTGAGTTTTACACCTAACAAATTTTAAAAAGTTCATTTTAACCTATTTAATTTCTAAGTAATCATAAATAAATTAATTTTAGATATCACGTGAAAAGCACGTGTATATTGGTGAGAGAATGACACCTGGCGAGACTTGCAGTAGTCAAGATCAGTCCACGACGACTCATCGAACACCTTATTTTCCGGCCAACCAGGATTGGGAACCATGGCGGAAATGGAGGAAGTGAGCACCACGCGCCGAACATTAAACCTCTTCGCCGCCGTGAGCACATTGATCGTACCCTGTACGGCCGGCTCAACCAGCTCCTTCTGCGGGTCCACCGGATCCTCTAGCGTACACGGCGACGCCACGTGGAAAACCCCACCGCCGCCGCATCCTGCTATTGCTCTGGAGACTGCATCGGCGTCAAGGATGTTGACTTCGTGAACCAATATTCGCACGCCGGGGTTAGATGCGCCGGCGAGAGAGTGGAGGTGCGAAGGATCGGTACCGGGGAAGATGGCGGCGTGGATGGTGGTGTAGCCGCGGTTGAGGAGCGTCTGAACCACCCATGAACCGATGAATCCGTTGGCTCCGGTGACGCAAACCGGTGGTTTTTCGGTAGACATTGCTGGAATTGCGTAACAAACCGATTAATTGTTGAACTGTTCAGTAGTGACAAAAAGGATATAATGATAGCGATGTGCTTAGTTAAATGAAATAAAAATTAGTTAGGGAAGTAATTAATATAAATACGAATTGGATTTGCGTTAAGAGTTATAGATAAAACAAAATTTTATCCTTTAATCCCAATTTGATTTAATCCATTAGAGTCGTAATTTTTCGTTACACGTTGCTCCGATATTTGCTTAGGGAGTATGATTCAGATAAACAACAATACTTGTACTCTTTATCTTTACAATTAAATTAGCACCGTTATAATTGACTGATTTTATAGATAAGGAAAATGATCTTTTTTAATAGGATTAAAGAAAATAAATTTTAGTGATATTTTATATTCATTGTTTATACCCATTTTTCATTGCAAAAAATAAAAGTTTTCAAGGCTAGCTATGCTTATTCGTTTCTGAGCTCATGACAATTCACTTAGACACCTCAACTAAGATTAGTACCTATTGAACACTTTTATCTATTTAAAACTTGTTCCTATTAGATATTTTTCGATAATAAGTAAAACAAACAAAGTGTGTAATACACTTGTTGTGATGTGGCAAAATGACAAATTACAAGATAACATGTGGCGTTGAGCCCAACAATTATAGAAAAAAAAGAATTTTTATGTTAAAAAGAATTAAAATCATTTCAAATATATTTTTCATCTATTTTTTTATTAAAAAAAATAAATGAGAATCCCAACCCTACCCCAGCCCCCTTTCTTCTTCATCTTCTTCCAAGCAAGATTTTCTTTCTCAAACGATAAAATTCAATTTCTTTGTTATTTGCTTATATAATTATTTTTTATTCCTAATACATGAGAAAGAGATATTCAAAGAGACTGATACAAGAGTGATGAAGAAAGTGAATCTGTCAATCGTCTTGAAATCGATAGCAAAGAGAAATCGAGAGAACATAAATTAATTTTATCGAATCAATCTGATATTATTTTTGATAAGTTTAGTGGGTTTACATTTTAATTTGAATGATAATATTTGTTCGAAGGTGACTGAAATGGACATCGATCGGCTAACTTTTTTCAGCCTCCCTCCAAATTCAATTAGCTTATTCAATTTTTATTTTTTAAAGTTAAAAAAAAACAATGAAGTGCACTGTCTTTGTGAAGAAAACGACTTAAAGGGGGTGGGGTGGTTTTTTTTTTTGTTTTGATTTAAGAATTAGTATTACTTTTAAAATTATTCTTTAAGAAATTAAATTATTTAAATGCCAAGTGGCAGTCAAAGAAGAAAAAGTATTAAGTTTTTTTGAAAAAAGTAAAAATAAAATATTATTTAAGATTGTTTCACGCTCTTAGCGGAAGTGAAAAACACTTCTTTTGCCACATCAACATTTTGTGTTTAATAGGTATACTTTTTAAACAATTAGGTGGTAATAGTCATAGTTGAGGTGCCTAAGTGAAATATGCGGACAACTTTAAGGGGATGCAGATGACTTAAACAACTACATAGTCATATTAGTGTTTGTACAAATAAAATTTAACTTATCATATCAATAAATAAATTAATAAAGTGATAATGTACATTAATTAACTATAGTCAAGTAAACAAAGTGAATATGCAAATATATAAATATACTTGGTATAATCACCAGACACGACTTAGTTTTTACATTTGAAAACTACGACAAAGAATCATAGATTAGGGTGGCAAAATAGTCGTTCAAATAACTCATTCATTAATTAGATCAATTTATTTTAGCTCAATTCAATTGATATGTAATTGACTCATAAGAAATTTTGTTAAAATGTTTTGAAAATAACTTTTTTTTATTTGATATGTTAAATGTAGCGATAATAAAGACAAAAATAACACTAATTTTTTTATAAAAGAATAATTAAAATTGAATAAGAATTGATCATATTGAATTATGATCCATATTTTAACCAATTTTTAGCACAAATAACTTCTGGACAAATTATTAACCCATCTATTTATTATTATAGCTCATTGACCCACCCAAATACGACTCGATCTAGCCATTTGACACCTCTAATCATAAATATTGATATACAATATTGAAATTTTTCAGTTGATTGTTTGAGGTTTGAAGAAGAGATCCTAGAGGGCTACAAAATTCAATGGATCGTTTCGTTTGGGTATGCACTTGGGCTGGCCCATTAGTCATAACAACTACAATAACATATTTCATATAGTATTTCATGAGTATACGCAGATCTTTTCATTGTCTTGGTGGGGTAGAATAATTTTTTCGATAGACTCTTGGCTTCAGAAAATACAAGTGTAGAAGCTACGTCAAAAGATTCAAAGAAAGAAAATTACTGACAACACAAATATTAAAGATAATTAAAGAAAAAAAAATTGCTAATAGAGTCAACACATGAGAAAATGTTAGCATAGTCCTAACTCCTAAGCCTCCATGCTCTCTCATGTAAAGTCATATCCTCGATTAGCTAATGACTATTCATGACTTTTCTAATCATCTCTCCTCAATTTTTCTTCGATCTCCCCCAACCTCTCTTCAACCCTCCTATTGTCAACCTCTCACACCTTCATAAAGGAGCACACAAGTGTTTCTTGTCTCCACATTTCTGAACCATCTCAACCTTATTTTCCGTATCTTATCCACTAATATGGTTACTCCCACCTTGGCCCTTGACCCCTATATCTTATTTCCCATATTGTCTCTTTTTTTTTCAATTTTTTTTTATCATTTGTTTTCTAGTTTTTAAATTTAAAAAGATGCAACTGAAAAAGCCCACTTGTGCATGGACCGCATTTTGGGCTTGAACCCAGGAGTGAACTGAACCCAATTCAAGATGCTACTTATAATCGTATTTCATCTTATTTCTGAGATGTAATTTCCAAATATGTTTGAGACGCGTCTTATAAATCATATATTTGAGATGAGAATTATAAATCATTGTTGTAAATTTGATTTCTAGAGGCTACGTATAAATTTAAAGGCGAAGTCACAGTTCTAGATGATAAATTGCACTTTTAAAATGTGAATTGTAAATCGCTAATATGTATGAATATTTACTAATTTGATTTATAATTACCATCTGAAAGTCCAAATAAGTTGCATTTCATAAAATGTGATTTTTACAAAGTGGTGTTTCTCTCAAAAACTAATCCTAGGATTTAAGTTTTAAAAATTAGTAGTCATGTAATGATTTTCTTACCCTATATATGCAGTGTAATTTGAGATGATATCTAGTAGGTTATCTTGCAATTTATTCTAGGTTATCAAAAGATAATGTTATTAAATAAAATAACTGTATTATATTTTACTAGACCGTATCATTGTATACATGTATTTTGTACTACAGTTAATGTATAAAACTTAAACTCATAGAAATATTAACTTTAATTCAAAGAAATCAAAATTAAGTTTCCTCACCACCATTTCACAATATGGTAGTAAATCGACAATCCAGACAAGAGAAATTAAAATCTTACTATACTACATTATATAAGACAAGCAAATAACTTGTAAAGTTGTTTTCTACTAATTTGTACATTCTCACATGGAATGAAAATAACACATACATCTGGGATAAGACCATCAAAGAATCTGATGCATTGGGTGAGACTGCTTTTTTCTTAATCAGATGTTTCGAACTTGAGCATCGAATTTGGATTAATCAGGCCCTAATACAAATACTAGACACTGAAGGAAAACAAAATAAACAAACAAACAAACAAATAAGAGAAGATATATAGTTGTACATTAATGTTGTGTCAATTTTTAGCTGAGATAGAAAAAAGGAATCACGAGATGTTTGTCTTCTTTGCCTATCCCAGCCCATTTGTTTCATGTCACTATTCTACTAACCTTTTGCCTTCCTATGAATACAAAGGAGATCAAATCGTAATTTAAAGTTCTTAAGTTCAGAATAAATATAAATTTATTTTTAGAAAAATATTAAATTCAGATGAACTCGCTTGTCATGTTCTCTTATAGAAGAAGAGCCAGTTGAGAGGCTTCACCTTTCTTTTCATCGTCATGCTTGCTTCTAAACACAAAGGCAGTTTCAAGTGCCAAAACAGGAGCAAATCAACATACCTGCTTTGGCACTTGTTTTGTAATTTTTGTGTGGTTTCTTTATTTTTATTTGTTTATCTTATCTTCTAATTAGTCTTTTACGTACTCCCTCCGTCCACTTTTAATTGTCATGTTGCGCTTTTTGAAAGTCAATTTGACTAATTTTCAAAGTTAAATTAGATTACGTTAATTCATTATTTTAAACCAAAAAAATTAGATTTTCAAAAAACATACGAAAAGTACAATAAATTGCATTTTTTTTTGCATATCAATATGATAAAAAAATACATCCTAAAATGTTAGTCAAAATTCTTATAGTTTGATTCGAAAAAAGGAAACCATGACAATTAAAAGTGGACGGGAGAATATATTGAA